ATATAGCTCTGGTGGAAGTTGTGAATATAGCTCTGGTGGAAGTTGTGAATATAGCTCTGGTGGAAGTTGTGAATATAGCTCTGGTGGAAGTTGTGAATATAGCTCTGGTGGAAGTTGTGAATATAGCTCTGGTGGAAGTTGTGAATATAGCTCTGGTGGAAGTTGTGAATATAGCTCTGGTGGAAGTTGTGAATATAGCTCTGGTGGAAGTTGTGAATATAGCTCTGGTGGAAGTTGTGAATATAGCTCTGGTGGAAGTTGTGAATATAGCTCTGGTGGAAGTTGTGAATATAGCTCTGGTGGAAGTTGTGAATATAGCTCTGGTGGAAGTTGTGAATATAGCTCTGGTGGAAGTTGTGAATATAGCTCTGGTGGAAGTTGTGAATATAGCTCTGGTGGAAGTTGTGAATATAGCTCTGGTGGAAGTTGTGAATATAGCTCTGGTGGAAGTTGTGAATATAGCTCTGGTGGAAGTTGTGAATATAGCTCTGGTGGAAGTTGTGAATATAGCTCTGGTGGAAGTTGTGAATATAGCTCTGGTGGAAGTTGTGAATATAGCTCTGGTGGAAGTTGTGAATATAGCTCTGGTGGAAGTTGTGAATATAGCTCTGGTGGAAGTTGTGAATATAGCTCTGGTGGAAGTTGTGAATATAGCTCTGGTGGAAGTTGTGAATATAGCTCTGGTGGAAGTTGTGAATATAGCTCTGGTGGAAGTTGTGAATATAGCTCTGGTGGAAGTTGTGAATATAGCTCTGGTGGAAGTTGTGAATATAGCTCTGGTGGAAGTTGTGAATATAGCTCTGGTGGAAGTTGTGAATATAGCTCTGGTGGAAGTTGTGAATATAGCTCTGGTGGAAGTTGTGAATATAGCTCTGGTGGAAGTTGTGAATATAGCTCTGGTGGAAGTTGTGAATATAGCTCTGGTGGAAGTTGTGAATATAGCTCTGGTGGAAGTTGTGAATATAGCTCTGGTGGAAGTTGTGAATATAGCTCTGGTGGAAGTTGTGAATATAGCTCTGGTGGAAGTTGTGAATATAGCTCTGGTGGAAGTTGTGAATATAGCTCTGGTGGAAGTTGTGAATATAGCTCTGGTGGAAGTTGTGAATATAGCTCTGGTGGAAGTTGTGAATATAGCTCTGGTGGAAGTTGTGAATATAGCTCTGGTGGAAGTTGTGAATATAGCTCTGGTGGAAGTTGTGAATATAGCTCTGGTGGAAGTTGTGAATATAGCTCTGGTGGAAGTTGTGAATATAGCTCTGGTGGAAGTTGTGAATATAGCTCTGGTGGAAGTTGTGAATATAGCTCTGGTGGAAGTTGTGAATATAGCTCTGGTGGAAGTTGTGAATATAGCTCTGGTGGAAGTTGTGAATATAGCTCTGGTGGAAGTTGTGAATATAGCTCTGGTGGAAGTTGTGAATATAGCTCTGGTGGAAGTTGTGAATATAGCTCTGGTGGAAGTTGTGAATATAGCTCTGGTGGAAGTTGTGAATATAGCTCTGGTGGAAGTTGTGAATATAGCTCTGGTGGAAGTTGTGAATATAGCTCTGGTGGAAGTTGTGAATATAGCTCTGGTGGAAGTTGTGAATAACGCTCTGGTGGAAGTTGTGAATATAGCTCTGGTGGAAGTTGTGAATATAGCTCTGGTGGAAGTTGTGAATATAGCTCTGGTGGAAGTTGTGAATATAGCTCTGGTGGAAGTTGTGAATATAGCTCTGGTGGAAGTTGTGAATATAGCTCTGGTGGAAGTTGTGAATATAGCTCTGGTGGAAGTTGTGAATATAGCTCTGGTGGAAGTTGTGAATATAGCTCTGGTGGAAGTTGTGAATATAGCTCTGGTGGAAGTTGTGAATATAGCTCTGGTGGAAGTTGTGAATATAGCTCTGGTGGAAGTTGTGAATATAGCTCTGGTGGAAGTTGTGAATATAGCTCTGGTGGAAGTTGTGAATATAGCTCTGGTGGAAGTTGTGAATATAGCTCTGGTGGAAGTTGTGAATATAGCTCTGGTGGAAGTTGTGAATATAGCTCTGGTGGAAGTTGTGAATATAGCTCTGGTGGAAGTTGTGAATATAGCTCTGGTGGAAGTTGTGAATATAGCTCTGGTGGAAGTTGTGAATATAGCTCTGGTGGAAGTTGTGAATATAGCTCTGGTGGAAGTTGTGAATATAGCTCTGGTGGAAGTTGTGAATATAGCTCTGGTGGAAGTTGTGAATATAGCTCTGGTGGAAGTTGTGAATATAGCTCTGGTGGAAGTTGTGAATATAGCTCTGGTGGAAGTTGTGAATATAGCTCTGGTGGAAGTTGTGAATATAGCTCTGGTGGAAGTTGTGAATATAGCTCTGGTGGAAGTTGTGAATATAGCTCTGGTGGAAGTTGTGAATATAGCTCTGGTGGAAGTTGTGAATATAGCTCTGGTGGAAGTTGTGAATATAGCTCTGGTGGAAGTTGTGAATATAGCTCTGGTGGAAGTTGTGAATATAGCTCTGGTGGAAGTTGTGAATATAGCTCTGGTGGAAGTTGTGAATATAGCTCTGGTGGAAGTTGTGAATATAGCTCTGGTGGAAGTTGTGAATATAGCTCTGGTGGAAGTTGTGAATATAGCTCTGGTGGAAGTTGTGAATATAGCTCTGGTGGAAGTTGTGAATATAGCTCTGGTGGAAGTTGTGAATATAGCTCTGGTGGAAGTTGTGAATATAGCTCTGGTGGAAGTTGTGAATATAGCTCTGGTGGAAGTTGTGAATATAGCTCTGGTGGAAGTTGTGAATATAGCTCTGGTGGAAGTTGTGAATATAGCTCTGGTGGAAGTTGTGAATATAGCTCTGGTGGAAGTTGTGAATATAGCTCTGGTGGAAGTTGTGAATATAGCTCTGGTGGAAGTTGTGAATATAGCTCTGGTGGAAGTTGTGAATATAGCTCTGGTGGAAGTTGTGAATATAGCTCTGGTGGAAGTTGTGAATATAGCTCTGGTGGAAGTTGTGAATATAGCTCTGGTGGAAGTTGTGAATATAGCTCTGGTGGAAGTTGTGAATATAGCTCTGGTGGAAGTTGTGAATATAGCTCTGGTGGAAGTTGTGAATATAGCTCTGGTGGAAGTTGTGAATATAGCTCTGGTGGAAGTTGTGAATATAGCTCTGGTGGAAGTTGTGAA